CCCCAAAACCCCAAAACCCCAAAACCCCAAAACCCCTCTTCTTTCAATCTTGATTGAAAAATAAAAAATAAAACTTTATGAATCATTGGGTTCCTAAGATAGTAAGTTTGTGAAGATACAATTAGAATTAATTTTTAATAGCTTTGCTTGCTACAACACTATCCAAGTCCTCACTCTATATGTCCAACTAAATAGTTTTGAAAGGTCAAAATATTTGAGCTTTTGCATAAATCGATCTGAAAGCCTAGTCACTAAGGAATTAACTTACTCTAGTCATCATAACGCATATCTACCCCTAAAAGACCTTAAGGTGTTAATAGGTTCGTAGCTAATATCAGGTATACATGGAGATGTGTCAATATTGATGACGATGTTGATAGGGCACGATTTGACATGGATCTGGAATGCTACTCATCTACTCATTTGAAATACTGCTTTCTCCTAGCACTCCCAATTTTGTTAATATGGGTTATCTTGGTTCCGATAATTGCACTTAAGGTAGTGTTACATAACAAGGACCATATGTCCCAAGGATTCACTCCAAATCGCTTCTATTGGGAATTCATAAATCTCTTGAGAAAATTCATATCAGTATTCTGTCTAGTCTTTTCGACATACACTAGAATTGCATTTGGAACAATGATCTTATTCATTACATCAAGAGTTCAAACTTCACTAAGACCTTACAAAGAAGAGAAGCACAACAAAATAGAAGTTCTAGCTATAAATGCTTGCATTGTGACTATTCTATCAAATTTCTCTTTCTTAGAGTCAGAACAAGTTGAATCATTAGATACATGGGAATTGCTGCTTGTTCTAATCGCCAACTCGATATTCATTGGGCATTGGATCAGCTTGCTCTCAAGATCATTTGGAGAAAAATCAAAGTTTGCCAGAATGGTAAGGTTATGAGCTTTATTCTTATAGATTTTTGGCATTTTAGGATGCCTCTTCTGTATTGGTGATACTATTAAAAACGAGATAAGCGGAAAAGAAGTCAACAAACAGCAAGCTTCAGATATAAACAGTAATAGCCGATGTGAATATCCTACAGAAATCCCTGAAGAAAGCACGGACAGACACAATAAACATGGCTTATTCCAGTATTTCTTGAAATTTGATGTAATCTCAGTCGCTGGAATTGAGTCCCTTCAACTTCTCGCTAGTAAAAGTTTTACAAATTACTTATTCCTCAACAATATTGATTGCTCCTTTTGGATGTCCCTAAACTTCGATAGTTTCTCGCCTTGCAACGTTTGGAAATTTCTTGTCGAGAACCAGGGAATTCCTTTAGAAGTATCTGAAAATCCTTAGAGATTTTGAACGCTCTTCCTACATGTTTTGGATTCGATACTCAATGCACATTGACTAAGTGGAGAGGTAGATCTTTATCACTATAATTTCAATAACAGAAATTTAATTGGGATTCTAAACCAGCACAGAAGTTATTCAAAAGAAGAAATAGTAAGCCTCATAAAAGTCCTGAAGCTCACACCAAGGTCGAGCCAAAGGCCAGGCACCTTCATATTTTAACTCATAGATTGGCTAATATCAATACTGATCCTCAGAAGAGTTCCCAGAATAGAGTAAGTTTGTTCTGAAACCCATAGCTTGGTTTAAAACCTCCGGCAGGAAACAGTATCATGTTCGACTCTAGCTCTTCCTCTGAACATTCAGAGTTACCAAATGTGATCCCTAAGATAAGAAGGAACAAAGAAGAAGAAAAACAAGAGTAATTTAGCCCAACTACAAGAATCAATGAAGATATGGCTTCTGGACTAACATGAAATAATAACTGGACTAAATATTGGGAAATCAACCTAAAACTATCTTTGTCGTACACATTTGGCATTTAGGATATTAGCCAAGAGCTTCTGTCGGCCTTGAATGAACGATAGCTTAGAATATCTCTGGAGAACTTATCAACCCCAGTTTGATGTTTTCGACATCAGAGCTGTGTTAATATTAAAAATAGTTATTAAAATTTTATCATTTCAAGATGACTACCTTACCTAGGGGTTTTGGGGTTTTGGGGTTTTGGGG